CGTTATGCCGTGCTGCTGCCTTGGGCGACCGGCTAGGTCACGTCGAAAGTAGCGCGGTCTTCCGCTGCCTCCCGACGCCTTCTAAGGCCGAGCCGCGCGCTTTCGCGCGGGTTGTGAGCCGCAGACACGCGCGCCTACTCGGGGACGAGCCGGGGTGGTGTGTGGGGCACGTTTACGGGTCCGGAATGGTCCGTTGCCGAGTCGGCGGCGGCAGCGGCGATGAGGCCGCGGCGCAAGGGCGGAGCAGAACCGCCGCAGCGGCCTGCGGCTGCGCCGCGCGCCCGCGCGCGGAGGAGGGGCGTGTGTGAGTCAGTGCTACGCGGTGCCGCCCTTGGAGAGGCGAGAGAGGCCGGTGTGGCAGGCAGGTTTAGCTCTGTCGGCTTCGCGACGCCGCCCCGCCGCACGCGGCCCAAATCATGACGCCACTCCAGCTGCGCTGGCAGCGGGCGCTGGTCTTCTGGCAGGCAAAGGGGCGGCTAAACGGCATGGCCCGGATCGCGTGCGCCAGGCCCCGCGCGCAGAGGGCGGCTCTCTGAGCTCAGGGCGACACAGAGCGCCGGCAGTTGCTGTGAGCTCTCAAAAGTCGCTGTTCACACTGGCGACACCGGTTTCTTCTTTATATCTTCATGAACCGCTGGGGGAGGAATAATTTCGTGCCCAGACCGCCGTACTGGCACGGTAGGATCGAGATCCGCGAGCGAGAGATGGAATTGGAGCCCTGGTGCGACGGGTTAGGTGAGCTACCATCACTGTCTTAGTGCGCGCGCCCCGCATGGTCCGACACATCTAAAGTGGAAGGGTGGGGTAGGGGAGAAGTACTCTTGAGGGAAACATCGGACCGTCAGGCCCCGGGGACTGGCCAGCCCGACTAACACAACCTTCAGGAACACCATTTTGCGGTCCTGAGCGGCCGTCTCGGAGCAGAAGCTTCCCTGCCTCCTTAGCCATGTTGCGGTGCCCTCGCGCCATCTGGTCCACGCACTGCTCGCAAGTAAAGCGTCTTCACAGGTCGGCAGATACGCCTCACCTTCAAAAAGGTGGCTGCCTACCCCAAAGCCCAGCCCGGGGCGTCGATTTCTCTTGACGATTTCACTTTAAAACGCTGGTGCAGATGGGGTTTTCTCTATAGAAGTCGGAGCCTTGCGTCGAAGGAGAGGCAGCGTGCGGCTCCGTGGACTCGGCCATCACCCGCGGGTGAGAGGGCGATAGGAAGCACTCCCGCCCTCTGAGGCGGCCGTCCGAGTCGGGGAGGCAAACACACAGCCATCCTCGCGGGTGTGGGCGGCCTTATCGGCCCGCTATACTAACCCTTAAGTCGGCCCTTCCTCGGGTCGGCTTCGGAGGCCCCGCAGCCCTAGCCGGAGCTAAGGGGCCCGGCTTTTTCGGCGCTATAAGGGGCCCGGCTTTTTCGGCGCTAACCCTAGGGGAAATCGCTCCGGAATAGGGTTTCCGGCACCATCGGGCGGCGCCACACGGATGGAGGGAGTCGGGTTTGCCATCGGCGGGCCGTGAGGGCGCTGAGAACTCAAGGCTGAGTTTTCGCTCCACTTTCGATGTGTCGGAGTATGCGAGGACAGCCCGTTCTGCCCGTTCGCGGGCTAGTCAGCACTTCTAGCGCAGAGAGGGCAATGGGGCGGAGGCACGCCGCAGCGGCAGGCAAAAGGAATCGGTATGAAAACACGTTCCCGCCGGTACACACACAAAGTAAGCACAGCACGCCTTAGAGACGTGACCGTCTCGGCGGCGAAAAATCACACACCGCCGCCACGCGATAGCGCGAACACAAGGGCTACGTGGAGCACACACGATAGCCACCGTCGCTCCTCTCAGTCTACTCCGCCTCTCCTCTAGCGCAGAGCGCCTCATCTCGCCGGGGAGAAGTGCGGTGATCCGCCTACCGCCTTAGGCACTTGATCGGCGTCACGGTGAAGGCGGGCTCGGCCGCTGCCTCCTGACGCCTTCTAAGGCCGAGCCGCGCGCTTTCGCGCGGGCTGTGAGCCGCAGACACGCGCGCCTACTCGGGGACGAGCCGGGGTGGTGTGTGGGGCACGTTTACGGGTCCGGAATGGTCCGTTGTGCCGTGCTGCTGCCTTGGGCGACCGGCTAGGTCACGTCGAAAGTAGCGCGGTCTTCCGCTGCCTCCCGACGCCTTCTAAGGCCGAGCCGCGCGCTTTCGCGCGGGCTGTGAGCCGCAGACACGCGCGCCTACTCGGGGACGAGCCGGGGTGGTGTGTGGGGCACGTTTACGGGTCCGGAATGGTCCGTTGTGCCGTGCTGCTGCCTTGGGCGACCGGCTAGGTCACGTCGAAAGTAGCGCGGTCTTCCGCTGCCTCCCGACGCCTTCTAAGGCTGAGCCGCGCGGCCTCGCGCGGGTTGTGAGCCGCAGACACGCGCGCCTACTCGGGGACGAGCCGGGGTGGTGTGTGGGGCACGTTTACGGGTCCGGAATGGTCCGTTGTGCCGTGCTGCTGCCTTGGGCGACCGGCTAGGTCACGTCGAAAGTAGCGCGGTCTTCCGCTGCCTCCCGACGCCTTCTAAGGCCGAGCCGCGCGCCCTCGCGCGGGTTGTGAGCCGCAGGCACGCGCGCCTACTCGGGGACGAGCCGGGGTGGTGTGTGGGGCACGTTTACGGGTCCGGAATGGTCCGTTGCCGAGTCGGCGGCGGCAGCGGCGATGAGGCCGCGGCGCAAGGGCGGAGCAGAACCGCCGCAGCGGCCTGCGGCTGCGCCGCGCGCCCGCGCGCGGAGGAGGGGCGTGTGTGAGTCAGTGCTACGCGGTGCCGCCCTTGGAGAGGCGAGAGAGGCCGGTGTGGCAGGCAGGTTTAGCTCTGTCGGCTTCGCGACGCCGCCCCGCCGCACGCGGCCCAAATCATGACGCCACTCCAGCTGCGCTGGCAGCGGGCGCTGGTCTTCTGGCAGGCAAAGGGGCGGCTAAACGGCATGGCCCGGACCGCGTGCGCCAGGCCCCGCGCGCAGAGGGCGGCTCTCTGAGCTCAGGGCGACACAGAGCGCCGGCAGTTGCTGTGAGCTCTCAAAAGTCGCTGTTCACACTGGCGACACCGGTTTCTTCTTTATATCTTCATGAACCGCTGGGGGAGGAATAATTTCGTGCCCAGACCGCCGTACTGGCACGGTAGGATCGAGATCCGCGAGCGAGAGATGGAATTGGAGCCCTGGTGCGACGGGTTAGGTGAGCTACCATCACTGTCTTAGTGCGCGCGCCCCGCATGGTCCGACACATCTAAAGTGGAAGGGTGGGGTAGGGGAGAAGTACTCTTGAGGGAAACATCGGACCGTCAGGCCCCGGGGACTGGCCAGCCCGACTAACACAACCTTCAGGAACACCATTTTGCGGTCCTGAGCGGCCGTCTCGGAGCAGAAGCTTCCCTGCCTCCTTAGCCATGTTGCGGTGCCCTCGCGCCATCTGGTCCACGCACTGCTCGCAAGTAAAGCGTCTTCACAGGTCGGCAGATACGCCTCACCTTCAAAAAGGTGGCTGCCTACCCCAAAGCCCAGCCCGGGGCGTCGATTTCTCTTGACGATTTCACTTTAAAACGCTGGTGCAGATGGGGTTTTCTCTATAGAAGTCGGAGCCTTGCGTCGAAGGAGAGGCAGCGTGCGGCTCCGTGGACTCGGCCATCACCCGCGGGTGAGAGGGCGATAGGAAGCACTCCCGCCCTCTGAGGCGGCCGTCCGAGTCGGGGAGGCAAACACACAGCCATCCTCGCGGGTGTGGGCGGCCTTATCGGCCCGCTATACTAACCCTTAAGTCGGCCCTTCCTCGGGTCGGCTTCGGAGGCCCCGCAGCCCTAGCCGGAGCTAAGGGGCCCGGCTTTTTCGGCGCTATAAGGGGCCCGGCTTTTTCGGCGCTAACCCTAGGGGAAATCGCTCCGGAATAGGGTTTCCGGCACCATCGGGCGGCGCCACACGGATGGAGGGAGTCGGGTTTGCCATCGGCGGGCCGTGAGGGCGCTGAGAACTCAAGGCTGAGTTTTCGCTCCACTTTCGATGTGTCGGAGTATACATACTGAGAGAGATAGAGAGAGTAAAAGTTCCGCCGCATATGGCGCTGCCTTGGCTGCTCGCAGCCTTGGCGGCCGCGGTCGACCCGAATGGACCCACATTCGCACCGCCTCACCGCCCGTCCCGTCCAGCTTCGCAGTGCCTTGCTGATGAGCCAAGTCGCGCTCCTCATCTCGCTTGCCTTCAACCAGTGCAGCGTTTGTCCGACAAATACCAGACAAATGCGACTCGACCAGTTTTGCCATCTGCCAGTGGCGCAGCCGCTCAAGAGCCCGACGGCAGTCGACTGGCCTCCAGTTCGAAACCCGACACGCGCGCTGGCTCGCCAGAGCCCTCGCCTGAGCCATCGCCTGAGCCATCGCCTGAGCCATCGCCTGAGCCATCGCCTGAGCCATCGCCCAGAGCCTCAGAGCTCCCACCTCTCCTTTTGGACCAGCCGCCTTGTGCTGCGCAGCAACCTTGTGACCGCGCAGCCAACACCACCACCGCCGCCAACTGGACTACCATCATCTCGTGGACGCCCCTCAACCAGGACACAGGGGGTCATGTGCCTGCGGGTGAGGACGCCGATGATCCCAAAGGATGCGAGGTCGTCCCTCGTGGCGGCCCTAACCTGTCGTCCTGCCAACACGCCCTCGATCTGTTCCGTCCCGAGACCTACATACTGAAATCTGAGCCGGGCGCAGTGGCATCGCTCCTCATCGCAAACCCTGTCAGCAGTACTTCGCGCCTTGCTTGCGGTATCTGAGCGTGGAAGAGGAGCTTGTGAGCGCATCGCCACGACGCTGCTGAGGAGCTTGTTAGCGCATCGCCACGACGCTGCTGAGGAGCTTGTTAGCCGTACCGCCTGATGACCTAACTCGGCACGGCGAGTATGGGGGAGAGAGGGCCACTGGTCGCAAACCTGCGGGCAGCGCTTCGCAGACCTGGCCTGGCCGGCTCACGCCTTCTACTCTTGGGCGATTCGCAAGAGCGCAATATGCTACACCTCGTGTGCGAGCACATGCAGGGGCGCTACTCGGCCCAGCAAGGATCGTACACAGACAGGACGCGGTTCGGTGGTGCGCGACGCTGGGGCCAGCCTCACGTCTGCCACGTCAGCCCTGCAAACATATCGATCCTCCAATTCTTCCACTTTGGCGTCGTGCCCAACGCAACGCCAGCCATACTCAAACATCACGCCTGCCGCGATGAGGTCACAGCACTGCCCGATCGGCTTCATTACCTCCCTGGAGGGCTGCTGAGTGGGATCGGAGCTCCCACGCATGTTGTCGCCCACTCTGGATTGTGGGACCTACTGAAGCTGTGCAACGAAAGCCACGACAGAGCACTACGCATGCTGGGGCCTGGTCAGAGATACGAACACTGGTTGCGCACCAAGCTACTCGAGCCGCTGCGTGCGCTCTTCCCGAACAGCCGTCTCTCGTGGCGAACGCTGCTGCGCGTGCGAGGCGACGCGAACAACCAGTCGTACGTCAATCGTGGCTGCGCGCTACCGCCGTACGAGCAAGCACGCGTCACGCTGGCTGGGGCCGCGGGCGAGAGCGCTGCACGCGCGGTGAACGTGCCCGTGCTCAACCTGGCGCGCGCGTTTGATGACATGATCAACGAGCGTGGCGAGCAGGCGGGGGGCTGCCAACACACCTCGCGCTAGGTGCGAATTTACCTCGTGTTGTTCTCCTCGCAGGCGTGGGCCGTGGACGGCTACCACCTCACGCCTGATATGTACCTGCATTGGGCAACACAAACTCTTAGTTGGATGGCGATGACTCCTACACATGATACGTAGACGGGGGGGCACACGGCATGGGGAGAAACTCCCGGGAGCGGGTGACGGCTGACGTCTGTGGTTTGAGTTTTTCTAAAGCCGTACTGACGTACACAAAAATAAACAAAAAGCAGACCGCACAGAAAGCCCCGTGTATGGTGTGTATCGTGTCTGTATAGTCTGAGACAAGCCGAGGTGGTTGTGACAAAAAGGAGCCTGGAAAGAGCGGACTGGCAGCGGGTGCGCTAACATCCGAGATGTTTAGAGCTCTAGGTAAGGTTTAAGTCCGCGTTGGCCTCTTTGTAGGGAAGAATTTTTGATGTCCGTCACAAGCCGTTTTGCTCCCCCAGCAGGCACACACTCTCTCTCGAGGTTCTCGAGGTGGATATCCTTTGGCCGCGTTGGGTAGCGAGGATTGGTGTAACCCGAGCCACGGAGGCGTGTTTTCTGGCGGCCGACCGTCAGTGCACGGAGTTGCCACTTCTCCGACTGCCCCGGCTAGTTCCCACACACTAGGACAGATAGGAGGAGAGAGGGGAAGTATCTGGCGACGCGCACAAGCTGCGTGAGTGAGTGAGTGAGTATATTCTTGACACACACACACGCTGCGTGAGACACACACACACACACACACTCGCTGCGTGAGCTTTTTTTGTGCGTCTGAGGACGGCGTCTGAAGACGACGGGTCGGCCTCTGTATGAATGCCCGACACCGAGCTCGCCTCCTATGGCGGGTCCACCGGTGTGACCAACGCTGGCGACGCCTCGCTCGCCGACCCCGCCGTCAACTCCGTCGGTCTCACGTGCGGCGGCGGCGGCGCCCCTGTGTGGTGCGCGGAGCCGCCGCCGCCGCTCACCGAGCTCTGTGTTTCCGAGGATCCGATCGAGGCCTCGGGCTCCGCGAGCAACGAGACGAGCCCGGCGTCTCTGCTCTTTCTCCACCCGTGTGCAGTCGTGCTGGCGCTGCTCCTCCCGGCGTGCCCTGAGCTTGGGCAGGTCAAGACGAAGCGGGTGAAGGGCCGCAGCCACGAAGCGATCTCCGTACCCTTGCTCGCCATCAAAAGTGCTCTCCGAGTTGGCATTGTGATCCTCTTCTTCCTGCAGGGCGCGCGCGGCATACCAGCGGCTCCGCTCCAGGTCACTGTGGGTGGCGGCCCTCTTCCTCCCATGCACGCCGGCGGCGAGTGGCGGGCGAACGACGGATTGGCGAACGCTTCTCGAGTCCCAACCAAGGAGTCTGTCAAGACATTCGCCGACTGCTCGGCCGGCATCACCCCAAACGGGGCCCGCCAGGTCTGCTGCAGCGCTGCGTGCGGGCTGTGCGGCGCACGCGATTGCTCGAGTCGGCCCGGCGGGCCGCGCCAGTGCTGCATGCGCGCTATTGTGCGTGCGGGTCGGGTGTGCGAATCACGGGCGGATGTGGCCTGCATCCTGCGGGGCAGCAGCAACTACATCGGAGGCGACGGCAAGGACCCCAAACTTGCGGCGTCCACCCCTCTTACGGCTTCTCGCCCGCCCTGCTCCCCCCCTGCTCGAGCGCCGTTTGGGGTGATGCCGACGTGCGCCGTTGAACTTGTGGAGCAGACGAGCCGGGCCCCGTGCACACTTGGCCGGAGCTTTGGTTGCCTCGACAACAGTAGCATATGGGTCAAAAACTGTCGTGGCAGCTTCAAATGCTCGCCAGATGGCGAGGTATTTGATTGCGGATACCCACCTGGCCAACGTCGATACCGCTGCCACTGTGATTCCGAGCGCGTGTCTGCTCAGCAAAGCCGGGGCACCTTTGCGCACCCCGTATTCGTGTATGCTGCCCGCGTCTTTGCACCGCCGATGCCCAAAGGATGGGGATACACTGGGCACCAGCTGCAAGATATTGCTTCGAGCTTGGTCCTGGCTGAGCTGTTCAACTGGACTGCGGCCCGACCAACCGGCATGCAGCTCGACCTGCCCTTCGACGCGGAAGGTCAGCTGCATGCGCTGCCAGCACAGTGCATCTCGGCAGCCTACACGCAAGGTACTGGCTGCTACGCCAACCATGAGACAACAGTGCTTAGTAAGAGCGCATGGGATGGCTACAGCAGCTTTGACCTGCTACACCGTCATGTGAGGCGGCAACTATACGATCGCCCTGGACGTTGCGTGTGCGTCACTTGGGGGTTCCGCGTTCATCTTCACCAGCTTTACGCCTTTGAGCAGTCGGGCTACGCTCCGGCCGGGGCGTACAATCGCACCGCCACGAAGCTGCGGCAGCTCGTTCCCATCCAGCTGCCGTTGTGCGCACCACCGTGCACGCATGACCTCGCGGTACATATCCGGCGGGGCGATGTGGCAAGGTTTCTCCGTGGCCACTTCAACAGCACGCTCGCCCGCATCCGCCTGGCAATCGCGCACACGCAGGCGCAGAGCATCGTGTTCCTCACCGAGAAGCGCAACAGCGAGGATGTGTTTGCTCACGCGTGCACGGGGGTGCAGCCTTTGCGTGGACGGTGCGACGTCGTCTCGAGCACACTGCATCATGACGTCTCCCTTGGCGTTGCGGCCAGAACTTTTCTGGTCGACTCAACCTCGAGTGTGAGCTGGCTCATCTACCATCTGCGCGATGCCGCTGCGCCCAGCTTGCAACTTCGAAACGTCATGCACTTCTTTGCGTGCACTGGGGTGCCCAAGCCCGCAAACCTGCAGGCTCTTCCTCACTCGCCCTGTCCGGCCCAAACGGTGCTCTGGGGCCGGCCCGAGAAGCCTGTGGGGCACCACCCGCAGGGGGCGGCGCCAGCCAATGCCGACGTGTGGCGCGCCTTGTACGACTCGTCGACGCGCACCTCACAGAGAATAGCCGAGTGGACGCGGCGCGGTGAGGCGCAGCCGCCCTTGAGCGATGTCGACGTACAGGACCTGCTCGCACCTTACACGTCGGACTTGTGCACGGGCAACGGCTACAAGTCCTACCGCGCCGAGCTCTCCAAGAGCAGCCTCGGCTTTCCCCAACTGCAGCGCCATCACTTGAGCGCACCGCGCAACTCGCGTCTTCTCTTTTACGGCCACTCGTTCATGCGGCAACTGTTCTGGGCGATCGCGCCGGCGTGGTCGTTCGACAAATCGTCGTTCCAGGTGAAGATCGATGCCGACAAGATGCGCAGATATTCGGTCGATATCCGACGCACGCCCAAAGGGAAGGGCTTGAAGTCGCAGCACTTTAGCGAGTATTACGACCGCGAGCGCAATGTGACTACGGTGATGGTGAGCAACAACAACCTGCTGCAAAGCACGGGCGCCATCAAGAGCAACGCGCTGGAAGACTTCATGAGGAGATATGCCTTCGACGTCGTTTTCTACATGGATCCTCACGCCGAGTGCGTGTACGACTACCTGCGCGTCAAGGAGATCCTGCGCTGGAGCAACTACACGCAGTACGCTTGCATCAACCTCGAAAAGTTCGAGGAGCGGCGCCAGCACGCCTCGGCGTCTTTTGGGCAATACAAGTACTTGCCGACGAAGGAGCGCGACAAGCAGCTGCGTCAAATTACACGCAAGCACGCACGCAAGGCCTGGATTGAGGTGTGGCCTTGGGGCAAAACAAAGGGCGTGCCGCGAGGCTGCGCGAGCGGCACCACAGTGCAGCCGACCAAATTGCCCGACGGGCCGTCCTGGGAGGGCGTCGTCGTCGCGGGAGCGTTTGCGAAGAAGGCATGCAGCAATAATGACAAAGCATGCGGCAGCAAACTCGCTGCCCATCAGTGTCAACCGTCGTGGCTGCAGTTTGCCACACGCGCCATGGTTCTCGCCGCCAACTTGAGCGTTTACTACGCTGATGAGTCGAGCGGTGCTCGCGGCAAGGAGGAGCTTCATCATGCTGCACCGCCGCCGAGCGGCTGCGTGGGCAACATGCACGAGTTTGACGCTACCGGAGCACTGAGTGCGAGTCCTCGGTGAATGTTGTCGGCATATACCGGCGGCGTCGGCGTCGTCATCCCGAGCGTCAGCTCCAGCGGGCGTCATGCCGGTGTCGATCGGCGGCCGGGGCATCGGCGGCACGCGTGGGGCCGGCGCCGGCAGTTGGACCAGGCGCGGAGGTGATCGATCCAGGCCGTGGCCTTGCCGTTCGTCGCCTTGGCCCCGCGTGCCACAACTCATACCGTGGCACGACCAACCGGAGGGGTTGCGTGATCGGGACGTGGATGTTTGGTGCCATGCGTGACCTATACTAGTGTCCCCAGCTATGGGCGTGTCCATGTTGGAGCCAGGTGTGTGTGGTGTGGACGCGAGAATAGCTCCGCCGTTCATGGAGGCAACCGATGCGAGTCGACTGGTGTGTGTCGTCGTGGTTTCGTATCAAGAATACTCACTCACTCACACGAGCGGTCCTTCGTTGCAGTCGCACACACGCACACGCCGCGCCGCACCGCGCGCCCGCCCACTGCCCCGCCCTAGGCGGGAAAGAGATGAGGAGATGGGACAGCGAAGGAGGAGCCCAACACGTATGGGAGGGTTCAGTTGTGCGTCACGCTGTCCGATTTTTTTTCACATGTACATGAAGCACTAGAACATACCCGGAGGGATCTGTCTAAATGTAGCACTAGAACCCGAGGGATCTGTCTAGCGTCCACCCATACGGCGTTGGTGTCCAGTTCGAGCCTGACTGTTCTTCACCTTTCTACCTAACCTAACCGAGGGTGAACTTTTTTGAGCTGACTTCGTTGTTAATAGAAACAAGCGAAGGCACACACAACAACACAAAATGACGCCAAACACACGATTGCACGCACCGCACCGCACCCCGCACCCCTCGCCCGCCGCCCCCCCGGCGCCCGCCCCGCCATTTTTTTTGGCCGACCGTCAGTGCACGGAGTTGCCCCTTCTCCCTGCCCCGGGCCCCCGCCCGGCTGGTTGGTTCCAGGGTTCGTCGGGAGTTTCCCCTTCGTTCGTTCGCCGCCCGAGCGAGACCTGCGACCTCGCCTCAAAGGTCTTCCGCGACCCTCACATCCAGGTCTCACTCCTCTCAATCTCTTAGTACTTAGAAAGACTAGAGATTTCGATGACTGTATGCACACGCACGGCGCGCAATGCGCGCGCGTGCCGTGGGTGAGCAAACCTGCATCCCACTCCCTCCCTCCCAGACACAACCCCGTCAGCCCGTGCAGTGCTGAGTGACCAGGAGCCGGACAACCCTGTGCGCGGACTCTGTTCGCCGCACACATGTAACGGGCTCGGGGACATGGGCGTCCCACTCCACAGCCCGACGCGTCCCCTCGGCGCTCGCGCGCTCGCGCTCAGAGCGCGTCCAGGTCGAGCGTGAGCGCATCCATGTGCGTCTCGCCGTCAAAAAGGTCGCGCAGTAGCTGCGCTCCACGTGGACGAGGCTAGCGGGCTCTACATTCATGGAGAGCTCTACAGCGTGTTTTTTATTGCCGAGAGCCAGTCAGTAGGTAGGTAGGTAGAAAGGTGAAGAACAGCCAGGCTCGGACTGGACACCAACGCGGTATGGGTGGACGCTAGACAGATGATGACGACACGCACGAGCGACACACAGACACAAACAGGCTCACAAGACACACAGCCAGCTGGCTGCCACACACCCTGTCCCTGAGTCGGCGTACACATAACTCAGGGCCACATCCTCCCTGTCGCCCCCCCCAGCACTCCACGGTGCCAAGGGCACAAACAAGGGCACAACTCAAACAACAGACAACAGGAAGTGACGTGCTAGGCTAGAGCAGACCGCTCCGCCTCTAGCAATCTCGCCGGCCGGCGAGGCACGGACGAGACCGTATGTGGGGTCTAGTGAGGTGTCTATGGACGCTCTCCTCATGGGCTAGCTGCCTGCGTCAGTGTACAGTGATGATGACTAGAAGAAAGAAACAACGCTCCCGGGAGGGAAAAAAGCACACCGCCAGCAGACCAGGCGCCTAGGCGCCCGCTTCCTCCCGCGCTCGGCGCTGTTCTCAGCGGGCGGGAGGGGGGCTCGCTGGGGCACTGGGCCGGGCTGCCGCGCGCCACCTCCTACGCGCTGCCCGCGCGCGCGCTTGCCCACGGCCCTCCCCCAGCCAGCGCGCCGACGCTCCCTCCTGACGCGGCAGAAACTGCATCAACTATGGCTGCCACCAAGCGCATCAACAAGGAGCTGCAGGACCTGACCAAGGACCCGCCCTCCACCTGCAGCGCGGGCCCCGTGGGCGACGACCTCTTTCACTGGCAGTCCACCATTATGGGCCCGGTGCGGTCTTCCCGCCGCGACGCTGGGCCCCGCGCAGCACTCGGCCTGACCGCCTGGCCTCGGCCCCCCGCGGAGCGCAGAAGGAGTCACCGTATGAGGGCGGCATCTTTTTCTTGAACATCAACTTCCCCTCCGACTACCCCTTCAAGCCGCCAAAGGTCCACGCCGCACCGCCGCAAGGAGCACGCACTCGCACAACAGACGCGTGGGGATGGGGGCTTGGTGTGGCCGGGGCGCGGCGTTCGGCGCGCCGCGCGCGTGCGCGGAGCTCGCTCGCCTCGCGCCGCCCGCTCTCCCTCCGCGCCGCCCTCTTCCACTCTTCGCCCCCGCTCTTCCCTCCTGTTCCCCGGGGACAGTGTCCTGGACACGTCCGGTGGGGAAGTGTGTGGTCCATTGCCGCAACCCCGGCCGCGCGCCGCGCGCCGCGCCGCGCCGCGCGCCCGCCTCCTCCGCGCGCCTCATCCCCCCCGCCCACCTCACCGTCAGGTGACCTTCACGACGAAGATTTACCACTGCAACGTCAACAGCAACGGTAGCATCTGCCTCGACATCTTGCAGAGCCAGTGGTCGCCCGCGCTCACGGTCTCCAAGGCGCCTCCTGCCGCCCTCGCCCTCTCCCCGCCCACGCCGCGCCCTCCGCCCCACCACTGCTTCCCCGTCCCTCCCACACTCCCTTTTCTCCAGCCGCGGCCCCGCCTCTAACCCCCCACGACCGACGGCCTGCAGGTGCTGCTTTCGGTCTGTTCGCTGCTGACCGATCCCAACCCGGACGACCCGCTCGTGCCCGAGATTGCGCGGCTCTACAAGCAGGTCCGCCTTTCCCGCCCGAGCCACAGCCGTCACCGTCCGCGCTGCCGTCGCTTGCGCCCTCCAGCCTCCGCAGACCGCGCTGCCGCTCGCCCCGCCCCCGCACGCGCACGGCCGCGCGCCACGCCCCTGACCACCTCGCTCCCACCCCGCCGCAGGATCGGGGCAAGCACGACGAGACGGCCAAGGAGTGGACGCGAAAGTACGCCATGTAGGCCAGCTACTTCTTGGATGCGTTGTCTGTTGTGCGGTTTTTGGACAGTATACGTGTACCTCTATCCTCTTTTGCGTTTGGCTCTCGCCATAACGCATAAGAAAAAACGACTTTACGCAACGACCAACGTACGGGGACACCACATTTGCTATGACATTTCTCTGAGACCCACAACGCACAACCGACACCGTACAGGCCGACACAACCACACAAGTGTCAGGAGTTACTTGAAGAGGGAAGTGTGTCGTGTGAGGTCAGAGGTGTGTCGTGTGAGGCGAGGTTGTGTGATCAAGCTTCAAGGCGTTCAAGGCGAGGTCCGAGGTGCTCGCCGAGGTGTGCCGTTGCGGCGTGCGCGTGCTCTCTGCATCTTGCGCGCGGCTGTGCGGCGGAGATGCGGGTGCTGACTGCTGTGTGGACTGTGGTGGTGGCGCCGCCCAGGCCCTTGGCCACGAGTCCAGGTGTGCTATATACCTTACCTACGCACAGTCACGGACGGGGACACGCACGCGCCCAACGCACACGCACGGCGGCGGCGGGCGGGGCGGGACCCCTCGCCGAGAGGGGGCGGGGCGCCCCGCGGCCGCGCAAGTCTCGCAATTCGCAAAGCGGCTACCTCAGCCCGCGGCGGGTTGTTCTACGCCCGGCCCCGCGGCCTGGCGCGCGTGCGCCTCCCCGGTGCCCTGATCCGCCGGCTGGACCGCGCGGCTGGACTGCCTCTGCCTCGGCGCGGGCGGCGCGAGGCAGGCGCTTCCACGCGCGGCGAGCAGGTCGGCGAGCTCCGAGACGAGGCGCGCAAAGACGACGAGCCCGGCGAGGGAGAGGAGGAAGAACATGGCGAGCCCGCCGCCGCCGTCGCCGTACGAGAACGTGTAGTGGCCAAACCCGATGGTGCTGAACGTGACAAACGCATAGTAGAAGCCTACAGCCGTTGAGCCATACGCGGGCTACGATTCCAAAGAGTTCAGATGAGTACGGCCCGAGTTCGTGTGCTCCGAGTGCGAGTCGGGGTACGCAGATCTGTATCCAGCTTCTAGGATCAGACGCCGGTGAAGAAGTCCCAGCCCTGCGTCGCGGCAAAGATGCCTCCGCTGAGCAGCCAGTAGGCGAGCGCGAGGCCGACGTAGAGGAGGGCGCGCCGCCCAGGGCCGGGCTTGTCGACGCGAAGCAAGCGGACGAGCAGCGCGATGCTCGCCTGAGGGGCGAGGAGAGGTGAGTATGGCTTCTCCGCACGCTTGCGTGTGGGGCTAGTGGGCCCGCCCCTCGCCTTGTCCAGCCCGTCTGCGAGAACCGTCAGGCAGGCTCCCGAGACGGCGAGGCCAACGAGGCCAAAGACCACCACGAGCACCTCTCCAGCCAGGGTGTACGGCACAAACGTCCCGTAGCCGATCGTCGTCATGATGGTCAGCACAAAGAAGAGCGAGCCACCAAACGACCAGTTCAGCGCGTCAGGGTTGGGCGCGGACTGCTTCGAGTTCGCGTACTCGTCCAGCTGCGAGACAAGCGCGTCGAGGGCGGCGCGGGCAGTCGTGTCGTTGACTAGCGCCGCCTCGACCAGCTCGCGTCGCTGCTGCAGCTGCTCCTGGAAGGCCACCGCCCTCGCCCGCTCCTCGCCGCCCTCGATGGCATAGAAGATTACGGCGCCGAGATGCGCTGTCGCAGTGTAGAGAAGGGCCGCGGCAACGCAGCGCCGCCAGGTGGGGCGCAGCAAGTGCCCTAGAGCGCGTCGCAGCTGCATCTACACCTGCACCGTGCTCAAAGTGAAGTTGAGCTTCGCGGCAAGGTGGTCCGGCGGAGAACAAAGAATCTAAGAAAACGCGGGCGCACGAGGAAGAACTCAGAGGAGAGGGGAGCCTCCTCCGGAGTGAGGATGAGGACCCCGCGCGAAGGGGCCCTGAGCGGTGACGGCGTGTGAGAGTGCGTGTCGTGTTCATGTCTGGTGTTCATTATAGCTCCGCCGAGACCCGAGTAGAGGGGGCGGTCTACTGCTAGGGCCTAGGGGAAACCCGGAGCGCGGAGCTAACCTTTGGAGACCCGTGTTTACTTTAAGGCCCTTTCCCTGCGAACGCGTACCCCCGGGGCTAGGGCTCTCTAGCGGCCGTAACCCCGCGACACCGATCATTCCGGCTCGCTGGGTGCGCTTCGGCTTTAGCTCCGCCCCGGCCCTGCATGTGAGGTTGATAACTGCACTCCAAGTGCTCCAAGAAGTGCTCCTCAAGTGTGGAGGTTGATGACCGCTCTCCAAGTGCGCAAGTCTCAGCATACGTAAGGCACGCACACGAACCGCTGCTCTATACCTCTAGCGAAGCGCGTCGGGTTGTGCTTGGGGGTGCCCTTTCTCTCTTCGCCTCTCTCTCTAGATTCCTCTTGGTCTTGAGGTCACGCGCCGAGTCCCACTATATACGCTCCGGCCACACCGCCCCCGCCCTCTCTCCCGCGCTGTGGAGTTCTGGGTTGGGGGGCGCGCCTACCCCGGCTCGACCACCCCCGGCCGCCCCCGCTGCGGGGTCTGCATTCATCGCAGAGGACGCACGCGCGCGCTGCGTCGAGCGCGCCCATCCCGTGGGACGCTCGGCGGAGGAGGCGGCGGTGGCCGCGAGGAGCAGCGCCCCCTCACGCCCGCGCCTTGCCCGGCGCGGGCGGCAGCGCGATTTCGACAGGCTTGGCCGGGATCGGAGGCAGCTTCGGAGCCTCGGTGCGGCCCTTTGGCACCTGCGGCGGCGGGGGCGGGTGCGGGTGCGGCGGGTGCGGCGGGTGCGGCGGTGGCGGTGGTGGCGGTGGTGGCTGTGGCGGCTTTCGCCTCGACGCAAGTGCCGTGTAGGAAGTGTGCGACAAGTGTCTCGGAATGGCCGTGGAGTTGTCCCGGACGTGTCTGCACCTCGGCCGGCTCGAGCACATCTCGCACATCTCGAGCACATCTCGGCTGTCTCTCAGCTGTGTCACGGCGGTCTCTCGCGCCTCGACCGGACCAAGCATCGCCTCGGCAACCCACTGAGGCAGCGTGGCGCGCAAGTACCTCTCCCGCTCCCACTCGGTGATCAAGGTTGTCATCTTCGACTCCGCCTGCGCCCGCGGGAGGGAGGCGTGAGGGGGCGCGCGGCCGCAGCTGCGGGTGGCTTGGCGCTCCCTCGTCCGCCTCCGCCGCGGAGAGCGACTTTCCAAAGTACTCGATGAAGTGGCCTGCGCAGGAGGGCGAGGGGCGTGGTCAGCGGCGTGTCAGCGGCGTGGACGCGTCGTGGACGTGTCGTGGAAT